ATATATATATGTATGTATATATATGTATGTATGTATATATATAATTTTGTTAGTTTTGGTTGATGATATCATTGTTATTTATGATATCCTTATCTCTACAGATAGCCGAGCTTTGTAAATTGTTTTGGGAGTTGAAATCTTTGCTATATGGCAATAATGAAATTGAACTGGTGCCCGAAGTATGCACGCAATTGACCCTAAAAATATTTCAGAGATAACATTCTACGTCTTCTTATAGTTTGCCTTCCAAAATTAAGGCCCGAAGTACATTTCTAGTTAATAGTTAACTCTTCCTAGTTAACTTTTAAGAATTGATTTGAGCTAGTTATATAGTTATCGGCTTATTGCATCTTTTGCAATGTGACATTCCAAATAATTTTATAATCAACAATATTTATTTTTTAAAAACTTTGAATTGTATATGAATCAATGCTTATCAAATTCTACCTGATTTGAGGAATATCGCTCTTCATTATAATTGTTTTTATTTGTGTTTTTGTAGGATAAAAAAAGATGCCACTCAAGCCGCTGTAAGTTTGCAAAGGTTGCCAATTCATCACAGTTTTTTTCTTTTGATTTTTTGGAAGCAAACAAAGGCCTTCTGGACATTTTAATATATGGGTGAGCTATTCTGCTATTTATTTTGATGCCGTTCTATATGTTGGATTTAAGCATATTATGACTTAATATTTGACGAGAAATAAAAATATCTTTTTTGGAAAATGAGGAATATATATTTTAGGTATCAACAAAATTTTCAAACTAAAGTGGATAAATCACTATTGCTATATATTTTTCAAATTAATTATTCAATATTGTTTCTTTTGTTTCAGTAACATATTCAACATTCTATGACTATTGGTTCTCAATTTGAAGTTTCTATTTCTCCAGGCACATATAGGTACACATTTTCCTATTTTCTTTTATTTTAGAAAACCAACAATGTGAATTTTTTCTTAAAGAAGGTCAACAAGGCCTTGCTTTTAAAAGTTGCCGGCAGTGTGTCTAATTTTTCTTTTAAATATAAGATATTGAACTCTTAGGTTTTGAATTTTTTATTTGCTTAACATATATTTCATGTTATAAATATTTATCAATTTTAAACTATATATATTGACATTAGTATTTTTTTTCATAAAATTTAATAAATGGATCGTTATTTAAAAAGAAAAGAACGGCCAGATTAGCAATTTCTTGTTGATCTTGTCCTTCGTCATTTGAGTTGAAGTTATGATGTTAATGAACCAAAAAAAAAAAAAAAGTTGAAGGGATAACAACAAAAAAATCACAATTTTTTTTCAAACATTGATCAGTAAAGTTGCATGAAGATTTAGTTCAAAATGATTTGAAGAATATCCAACTTGGTTAGAGTATATTGTGGAGAAAGTTGCTGCATTAAGAATAAGTTGTTACAAGTTAAGGGAGTGGAAATTCATTTGTTAGTAAAGGATTTAAAAATTGGAAGAAAACAGAGAAACTTTTAGCTCATGTTGGTGAACATAATAGTGTGCACAATAAAACAAGAAAAAAATGTGAGGATATAATGAAGTTGCAAATTTAGAGTGTTCCTATTATTTGGCTGAGTAAAGATGAAAAAAATAAAAAGAATATCGGATTTTGTTGATTGCAGTAGTTGGTTACATTCGATTTTTTTTACTACAATGATTATCATTTCGTAGCCACGATGAATCATTTGAATAAATTATTCAAGAAAATTATTTGGAATTGCTTCATTTTGTTGTTAATCATAATGAAGAAGTGAAAAGTTACATTTGATAATGCTAGTATAAAGTTACAGTTGACTTCACCAAAGATTAAAAAATAACTTTGTTTAGCAGAAGCAGCTTAGACTATTATCCTTATCATGAAAGATATAGCTGGCTCATACTTTTCTATGACAATAGATGAGTCTCGTGATGTATCAACGAAGGAACAACTAGTTGTTGCAGTGAGATATGCTGATAAGAAAGGATAAGATATTGAAAGATTTATTGGTATCAAATATGTTTTCTCAATAAATACAGTTACTCTCAAGACACACCCTTGAATCTATATTAACAAAATATTCATTAAGTTTGCATAGAATACGTGGTCAAGGTTTTGATGGGACACCTAATTTGTGCTGTGAGTTTAACGGTTTTAAAATACGTTTTTCGGGATAATTCTCAAGCATATTATGTTTATTATTTTGCTCGTCAATTTCAATTATGTTTAGTGGCAGTAGCAAAAAATCACTGATAAATCAAATATCTTTTTGAGTTTACTTCAAGAATTATGAGCTTCTTGTAAGAGGAGTGATGTTCTCAAAATTATTCTACATGAGAAGATTCTTTTGTGTCTTAGAACTGGAGATTTACTTTGTGGCCGTGGTTTAAATCAAGAAACTGCTTTGCAATGAGCTGATAAAACTATTGTAACTTGGATTTTTGTACGTTTACTCATCTCACAAAAATGTATGCTTCTGATATTGAAGTTGTTGAGATTGTAAATGAGGATAAAATACATGATCAACAATCAGTTGAAGCTGATGTTTTAATCAATGCAATGAAATCTCCTGACTTTATCTTTATAATGCATATAATGATTGATATTTTAGGTATTACAAATGAATTATCATAATCCCTACAAAGAAAAGAACAGAAAATTGAGAATGCAATGTAATTAGTGCAAATGTCCAGAAAATGATTACAAATGATGAGGGAGGATGAATGCGATTTTTTATTGGATGAAGTGTCTCATTTTTTATAATATTTTTGAAATTGATATTTTTGATATGAATTGTATTTTTAGTGCTAATCGTCGGTCAATAAGTAGAGGTGAAAAAATGATGAATTTACTTTATTACTGTGTTGAGTTGTTTTATACCGTAATTGACATGCAACTTCAGAGTTGAACAATCGTTCTCAGAAGCAAATACCAACTACTTCTTTGTGGTATGTTTAAACCAAAGTAATTCGTTCTCAGTTTTTGTATGGGGAAATTGATTTATCTTGCAAATTATATTCGAATGGTTTTTCTATTGTTGAGTTTGTGTCGTTTGAGCATCCATTAGCCACTTATATTATTGATATGCGCAGTAGTGTTTTATGTCTAAATGATATTGTTGATCTTGCAAAACAATTGGTTCAGACAAAAAAGAATGATGTGTATCCTTTAGTTTATAGACTTATTATCTTAACATTAACTTTTTCAGTTGCTACTGCTATATTTGAAAGAGCATTCTCTGCAATGCAAATTGTCAAAAATCGATTGTGTAGTCGAATGGGCGATGACTGACTTGATGACTCTCTTAACGTATATTGAAAAAAAAAAATATATTTGATTTGGTTTCAAATGAAGTTTTTATGCAATATTATCAAAATATGCAAAATAGATTGAAATATTTGTAATATATTTCAATTTATGGTTGATAATGAAATACAAGATTTGTTTTTTTTTTTGAATTGTGTTATTCATTTTTTAATATAATAAATTTGCCCCCCTAAAAAATTGGTTGGTATTGCCCCTGGCTTGGATTGAGTTATTGAATAAGAAGTAGGATATGTTTGAACATAAGGTAATAATAGAGTGAAGCTAGATGCTGTTTCAAGTTATTGATTTCGCTGAATTGAGGATAATTCAAGTGCAAGGTATTAACAAGTTGGATATTGATTTGGTAGTTAGGTTTAAGCAGCATTCGAAATCAATGAATTTGGCATATTCTATTTTAAATTAGGGTAGATTAGGTGGCTGATTTATTAAAGACATCGATAGTCATTTGATGCAGAATTCCAATAGGTTGGATATTGATTTAATGGTTAAATTTAATATGTAGATTTCGGGATAATTTTCAAGTTTTTTAGAACTGGACGACAACATGATTTGGTCAAATATCAACACTAACTGCATCAAGTTTTAGCATGGAATAAATGGGCTGCATATAGCAGACAGGAAATGGATATGGACAAAACTTAATGTATAAACTAGAATGAAATTTGGGGTTGTTTTGGTTCACTGGATTAACTAGAATTCCAAGGCTATTGGATTGCTGAGTTTCCTGAATTGGAGTAGATTTATTAAGGAATCAATACTAATGCTCAAAATTCAAAATTAAAAGTTTTTCATCTAGTTTAATATCAAATAATACAATCTTATTTTTTTAGATTTGGTAGTTCTAATTAATATTTAAATTTATGAAATTTTGCTGTAAATCATTGCAAAGAAATTATCTGCAAAGTCAACTTCCAAATCAAGTGCATCATATATTCGTGAATATATATATATATATATATATATATATATATAACTAATGAAGCATATATAGATTCATCACATCTAACTATATACATAAGCACATGTGTACATGCATTCATACATATAAATACATAATTGTTGATCCATTCACAAACAAGGTCGATCCCAAAATTAGACTAAATTAAATATCGATTTGAACTAGGTTTGGCTCATTATTTGATTGATGGAAAACTTGATCTGAATTCACGCGCGCGTACTGTAGCTTGCTGGTGGAGCAGCCTCTCTGAAGGTCGTAAGTCCTCTTAGGTCACGAGGTCGAATTCCCCCGCGTGTAGGGTGTGATACCTGAATATTTAACACTTTTAGGGGAGGGCGCGGTCGTGGGCGTGGGCGCGTGCGCGTACAGTAGCTTGTTGGGATAGCAGCCTCTCTGAAGGTTGTAAGTCCCCTCAGGTCACGAGTTTGAATCCCCCCGTGTGTAGGGCGGGCGGGCTCGCGTACCGTAGCTTGTTGGTAGAGTAGCATCTCTGAAGGTCGTAAGTCCCCTCAGGTTACGGGTTTAAATCCCCCCGTGTGTAGGCGGTCGTGGGCGCGCGTGTACCCTAACTTGTTTGTAAAGCAACCTCTTTGAAGGTCGGAAGTGCCCTCAGGTCACCGGTTAGAATCCCCCCGTGTGTAGGGCGGGCGTGCGCGCGTACCGTAGCTTGCTGGTGGAGTAGCCTTTCTGAAGGTCGTAAGTCCTCTTAGGTCACGAGGTCGAATTCCCCCATGTGTAGGGTGTGATACATGAATATTTAGCACTTTTAGGGGAGGGCGAGGTAGTGGGCGCGCGCGCGTACCGTAGCTTGTTGGTAGAGCAACCTCTCTGAAGGTCGCAAGTCCTCTCAGGTCACAAGTTCAAATCCCCCCGTGTGTAGGCAGTCGTGGGCGCGCGTGTACCGTAGCTTGTTAGTAAAACAACCTCTTTGAAGGTCGTAAGTGCCCTCAGGTCATGGGTTCAAATCTCCCTGTGTGTAGGGCAGGCGCGCGTATCGTAGCTTGCTGGTAGAGCAGCCTCTCTGAAGTTCGTAAGTTCCCTCAGGTCACGGGTCAGCTTTGTTTGGTTTTCTGTTGCGGGGAAGCAACTGTGGGGGAGCTGGCTTTCTGTTTGGTTCAGCTGCGTGAAAACAGCTGCGGGACAGTTTTTTCTGTAAAAATGACAATTTTGTCAATTCAATAAAACCATGTAAAACATAATATAAAATAATATCTTTAGTAAACAAATTTAAATAATAAATTTACATTTTAATAATCAAATAGTAATTATTTATATCTTTATCACATAATTAAAAAACATAAAAAAATATTTATAAATAAATTAATTAATCATTAAATATTAATATATAAATCCATCTGATTATAATTAAATTAAAAATGTATGAATTTTAATCATTACTTATTAATAACTTAACAAAATTAACAAAATTAAAATCGCAATCCCTCTATCCCGATTTTGCTCAGAATCATGGCCTTCGGCAACAATGAAGCAGAAGGTGGAAGAAGCAGCAGTTGGCTTTGGCTCTTCGGTCGAAGGTGGAAGAAGGAGTTGACGGCTTTGGCTCTTCGTTGTCAATAACCGTCGACCTCCATAGCCGTCGACTACCTTAAACCACTGCCCAACGTCACCGA